AATGCACACCTCCGCCAGAAAAACAAATGGGGTGTGCCTCCCCCAGGAGGCGAGCAGCCATGGATGGGTCTGTTGGAGTCCAGCACACCTTAATGGAGTGGCTTAATTGACTCGTTGCCATTGCTGGCAGCTGAAGAGGTATTAGATGTACTCACCGGGGAAAGCATTTAATCACAGTGGATTGAAGTCATGGTTTGGAGTCATCTTTTCTTCCAGGTAGAAGGGCTTTCCCTGGATTTGCAGCTTCACCTATTGCCTTTGAGGGCCAAAATACCACTGAGCATGTGTTCTCCTGCCCAAAGAGCGCATGTGGCAGCTACAGGCAAACTGTTTGGCTTGGGGTTAGGGGACTCTCAGAGACTGAGCTTTGCTATGAGACATCAGTCGCGTAGGAATGACTCAGGATAACCGCAGTCCTCACCCCAAAGCAAAAAAGGGAATGTCAAAACGGAGCAAAAACATGGTAGCAGCCTCTCCCCAAAGGATGGAAACGATGAGGCTGCTCTAAACTCTCTGAGACACCAGAGGGAGATCCAAGGTCTGTTCATATCATCTCCTGGCTGCCAACCGAGCTCAAACATCTACAAATGTCAGGAGGCACTTGAGAAAAGCACAAAGGCTGCTGAGCCTGGTGTGCTGGCCTGTGCCTGCCCACTCCTCCTCCAGGAGGGGCGATTCCTGCCTTTACGGGAGGTGGCAGCTGACTATGACCTTTGTGTCATCCCTCATTCTCTTTCCCCACCACTTTCTCCCTCTCAACCCAGGACCTTGAACCCTGCTCCCAAAGGGGAGGGCTGCTGGCGGGATACTTGGTCAGGGATGGTCCTTTTGGGTGCTGGCACCATGCTCAGGGTCTGTTATCTGCAACTGGGGCTCCTGTGGGCTGCTGCAATACATGTTTACTCACAGGATTACTATTCATCTGTAAAGAGTCCTTGGCTCTGATATTGTCTTGTTGTTTCAGTTCTCTGTAGTCCAGACTTCGGAGCCTTCAGGACAAGCTATGAGAGCTGCTCTTTTTCTCTTGGGTTTGTGGAGTAAGTGGGTTGCAATGTAAACCAAAGGAAACTATGGGCATGCCAAGCTCCTGGCTATGTGCCAGGAAGCCTAAATTTGGCAAAAAAAAAAGGTCCACAACAGAACCTGTGAATCCCAAGATCCCCCTGCCGCAAAGTTAAGGACTTAGACCAAGAAAAGGAGACACAGTCCACAGATCCCTTGGCTCTGTCTCTCCCAGGGCTGTTGGGGTTGGGCAGCTCTTGGCTTTGGAAACGCAGTGCTGGGATTTTGGTGTGGGCTGCTGAAGAGATCAAGTGGGTGAAATAGCAAGAAAGCAGGCAGATTTCTGTAGGAAACCTGCCTGCAAGGCAATTTCCAGAACCCACCTACTTTGCATCAAAAGACTCATCAAAATAGTCACCTTTGCATGGAATAGTTCACTTGCATCAAACTGACATTTTCTGGAGGTGTAATTTTCCATTTAGCTGTGGTTCGGGGGCTTGATTAACCAAGGCTTCTAAGAACTTCATGATGACAAGGGGCAAATATAAAGGACTGGGTATGTCCCAGCTGAAGAAGCATCAGCCTAAGCACTCTAATTAGGGAAGTTCTTATTAACATCCTTTCAAAAGAGTGTCAGTTAAAAAATTAAAATAAATGAATCTGGGACTCACCCACAAAACACCAGACGGCAAATCGGATCCACGTGACTGTGGAGAGCTTCAGCATGAGATAGATATTCACCAGCATAGCAAAGGCAGGGACGAAGGGGAGACAAGGTGCCATGTAGGGCAGCTTCTTGGGGTTTTCTGGTTGCTGCAAGATCACAAACACCAGCACGACGATGAGCAGGATCATCAGTACAACGAGGAGGACAGCCCACCAGCTCTGCTCATAGATGTAGTCTGCCCCGAAAATGATGAAGGAGCAGAAGATGAACATCAGGACGAAGAGCAGGAGCACGCAGGTGGTGACGGTGTGGCCGGTGGCTGCCGTGGGGCGGTCCATTTTCCCTGGCAGTCCGAGGTGGATCCTCATCGTGTAGTAGCGCGGGCCAATCAACTTCTTCAGCTTGATGAGGTAGATGTTTTCAGACTCATCTGCCTCTATCCCTGAGGTCATGTCGACCGTGCCGTAGTTGGGATGATTCACGTTATAGGTGGATTTATCAGATTTCCCAATTAGCATCTCGTTATCCCCCAACGACGGCAGATTTTTTGCCCCGCACGTGTTGGTCGGTGGGCCAGCGAACTCTTCTCCTTCGCTCCCTGGGGAGCAAGTTTCCTTCTCGCAGTCGGCCAGGATGCCCTCCTTCTTCTTGGTATGCTACTCGGAGAGGAATTTGACAAAGCCATCGATGTCGCTCTCGGGCTGGTATCGGAGGAGCAGGACACAGACGGAGACCAACGTGTAGGCAAGCAGAGTGCCGATGGACATCATTTCTATCAGGTCCCTCAGGCTGACCAGCAAGGAGAGCAGTGCGGCGAGGAAGCCGGAGACGATACAAGCCACTACGGGAGTTTCCGTGTAAGAACTGACGTGGGACAAAAATCTGAAGTGTGGAACAATTGCAGAAGATTAAAATTGCAGATGGCAGCAGTTCCCTGTAGCAGTAACTTTTAGTTGGCTGGAGGGCCCAGGCTCAGAGCTGTGACCCCTTCAGCTCTCATTGCTTTTTGGTGCTTAGACTCTAGGGAGCCAGGGACTGGAAATACTGCTGAGACTGGATTTGGAGTTAGATCTAGGTCTAACCAGCTCTGGAATGGGCACTTGGACACTTCCAAATAAGTGCCAAGATTTTATGCATGTAAGCTGCTCTGCTTCACAAGTAACTCTTGAATTAAGTGCTCAGCTGCCCATAAGCTGAATCTCTAGGTACCAGCATCAAATGAGAAACTTTTGCATAGATCTCTCCTGATTTTTTCCCCAGGATTTTGATTTGTTATGTGCCCAGTGCTGCAAGTACTGGGTTTCTGCATGCCCCCTGCCACCTGCAGCGATGGCACCAGGCTGTCAGACTGCAGGACAGTCCCCATCCCTCCCAGCACACTTCCCTTCTGGGTCCCGAGGGGGAAAAAATAAATGCCAGCATGGGCATGACTGACCTGAAGAGCAGCCCATCACCAGCCATGGCATAAATGACTCTCGGCATTGGGAAGAGGGAGCCCAGCAAGCTGACGGTCAGGCCAGCCACGGACCCGATGGCAACGATGAACTTGGCCGCGTAGAAGCCACGAGCCACAAACATTTCCATCAGTGGGGACTCGGTGTCAATGGCATCATAGGGCACCATCAGCGTGAGGATGATGCTTACCTGGGGAAAGCAAGAGGAACAGGACATGGGTGTCAGCTGGGGACATGCAGGGCATGGGGACTGCCTCTCCAGGGTGGAAAGCCAAAAAAATTGCAAGTCTGATTTGGATTATATCCCTATGGTCACTGTGAGGGGGGAGGTAAAATGCTAGAGGTAAGTCTTCTGAAGGCAACAAGGTGACAGCTTGAACCTTGTTGCAGTGGTGATGCTGGAAGCTGGTGGGACTCGGTGGGATTAGTAACACTCGCATTGGCCATGTTCCTGTGAGGGGACAGCGCTGCCTGAGTCGTGCACTCCCCATGGGACAGACCCAAAACCCAAGATGACATCGCTTGGAGCAACAGTGGTCCTATTTGAGTCAAAGAGAAATTCATTTTGAGGGAAGCCCACCACGCTGTAGGAGAGGCTGTGGGTGAGCTTCTTTGAAACAATCAGAACAATATTTTTTCTCCTTCATGACTCAGTTTTGCTCTTTTACAGGGAAAATCCCTGAGTACAGATGTGCATTCATTGGGGTACAGAGAGCTGGATATCTCTCACATGGCCACCCCTGCCCATCCTCCTCCACACTCGGACCCTCTCCCATCTCTCCAGCAGAGGCAGTGCTGCTTTTCCCAAAAAACACAGAAAAAGGTTGCTGCCATGCTGCTGCTCCTTCCACTTTGCTGCACTTCTGGATGCAACCATAGCTGCGGATGGGGACGAGGCGTGAGGAAAAAACCAGCTGCCACCGTCTCCCTGCAGCCAGCAGAGGCATCTCGGCAGGGCGACAGGAGGACAGGAGCCTGGGGACAAACCGGGCTGGGGCTGAGGGGGGGTCTCGGCAGGACACTGCAGTCACATGGAAACACAGGCGATGTCTCTGTTCCCACCAAAGAAAGGGCCCTTGTCCAAGGCTCAAACTGGCACCCCAGCTCATGGGGAGGGGCGTGGCACAGATGCCCCAAAGGGACACACTACATACATACATATATATGTATATATATGCATATATATTTACATATATTAACGTATGTATAGCTAGTACTTACAGACACATATGCTGTCAAGCACGTGACAAGCGAGGCTGTGATGGCATAGGGGATGGAGGTGTTGGGATTCTTCGCTTCTTCTCCCGTAGTAGCAATGATGTCGAAGCCGATGAAGGCATAGAAACATGTCGCAGCCCCTTTGAGCACCTGCACGGAGGATCGAGCATCTGAGTGTCAGGAGGGAGGCTGGCACCCAACCACGGAGAGGGAACCGAGCAAATAACGAAGGAGCCCAGTTCTGCCTTCTCTGAACTAACGGGTGAGTGGGGGGCAGCTCAGGGGGGTAAACACACAGAGCTGGCCATTCCCCTCTGGGGACTGACCCTGGGAGCACCCATAACGCAGGGACCTGCTCTAGGGAAGAGATTTCAACAAGCGGCCCGAGTCTCTGGAGGCATCTGCAGCTCACTCGTGGTGCACCACAAGAACAGTGCCCGAATCTGCTGAGAGATCCTGGCAGCGGCAGAAGAGACAATTAACCAATTTCATGTTTTCTTTCACAATCCTCCACCCCAATTCTGTTTATATTAGTAGGGATTTGGAGCATGTTTACACGTTCCATCTTAGCAAGATGTCTCATGTGGCAGCAAGATCCGTTAGCAGAGGAAGCAGAAGAGAGCAGCAACAGTCAGATGTGCACTGCTTTCTAAACAGCCTCTGCTTTGCTTGGAAGCTGCAGACAGGTTGGGAGCACACATTGGAGCACTTGGATGAGGAATTATTTGTACTGTTTAGGTTTTTTTTTTAATGTGATTTTTTAAAATATACAATATTAGCAAGGACATTTATAGGAAGTAAACGCTGAACCAGGCTAAAGGCTGTGTGGCTGTGAGTGAGCTGATTTGCAGTTGTCAAACCCTCACATACATCTAGCTAGCTAGCTGGGGACCACGTGTCCATCACATCTCTGTCATCTCAGCTGTCTAGTGATGGGGCACATGGTAAAATTCACTTCTTTCAGAGGACTACCTGTACCCACCTTTTTGAAGTAGCCCCTATGCTCCTGAGGATCTCATGCTTGTGCTGCCATGGATTTACTTCTACAAACAATTTGGGAGGCAAAAAAACAGTTGAAAAATGATGGGAAGACCCTACCGGTTTTGATGGGTTTGGGATATGTATCTTTTGAAACTATGGCTTTTTGCCAGGAGAGATTTGGTGAGCTGAATTGGAGCAAAATGGCTATTTTCTGTTTTCTCTTTTTCGTTCCTACTGTATGGCATAAAAAGCCAAGCACAATCCAAAGGTAATTGGCCTCTGCTCTCAAATGGGCCCCAGTGCTCTTCTCCTCACTGTTGTTCTATGGCAGAGAGGTATTGAATTACTGAAGGGAGGTACAGGGACTGTATGGCAGCTTGGGACCCTTTCGATAATCAAGATTCTTGGTGTACTTTACTTTCTTGTTTATTTTTCTGCACAAAACCCTGATGGAGTCGAGCAGTGTAAATCTGAGAAATTATCTTGGGTTTAGGCCAGCTGAGATATTTTCGGTCTCTGTTCATCCTTGGATAAAAACCAGTGCAAGCAAGCTAAAAAAGCCAAATATGTCCAAATTCTCAGTAAGCTTTGAGGGAACGTCCATAAAATAAGTACTGGCAGGTGGCGTTATGAAGTGCTCAAAACAAATGCTTGAGAACATTGTTGTTGAAAACCAGCCAACACAAGTATCTCCCCCTCCGCAGAGGCTGAGCCAACTCCTCCTGAGCTCCCTGTCTTGGATGGCCACTGCATTTTGCTCCATTGCTTGGCAATTAGTGGCATGTCCTGGTGTACACTTTCATGTGGAGTTTGGCTCTCCAGGAGGACATTTTGGAAAAGTTCTTGGTTTATTCTAAGAGGTGGCAGGAGCTACGGGCAAAGCATTTGGGTTTGGTGGAGCAAGGAGGTCTGGATCCAAGCCTGCAGTGGTGGAAGTTGTAGGTCCCTGGCCAAAGCTCAGGTGGGTTTGGCAGGGCTGAGATTCGGACAGTGCAGTGGAAGTAGGGTGTGTGTACTACGAGCAAAGCTGAGTGTGCGGCAGGTGGGTGCCACCGCTTAGGTGCTGTGTGTCCCTCCGTGCGCCCAGGACTTACCCCTGGCCATCCAAATGGCAGGAATTGCCCTTCAGACCAGTTTTCACCTTTGACATAGAAGAGACCAGCAATCATGATGAAGATCCAGACTGCCAGGTTAATGACATTGAGCACGTTGTTCAGCCCCACCGAGTTCTTCACCCCCATGGCCACGATGATGGTGACAATGACAGCAATGACCAGAGCAAGAAGGTCAGGGTACGACTCCTCTCCTTTCCCTGGGTAAGAGAAAAGAGGTGCGTCACTCTCCTTCCATAGCTGTGGTCAGCATTTCCAGAAACTCTGTGGGAACATTTTTAAACGCTTTTCAGACCCTGAGGCTTTGCAAACTTCTTGGTCTCATAGCAAAGGTGGTCTCCAGATGCCCCTGCCTCCTCTAGCTAAAGTTGTTTGGAGACACTGTTAGGAGTTTTGGAGGGCACCAAACAAATGATCAGGTCTCAGTTTGCACAACACGTATCTGCCAAGTACTGATTAAAAATCAACCAAATGTTAAGTTTCCATGACACAGGTACAGGACAGCTAGCTGCTTTACTTACCGGTAGGAACCATGGACTGTTGCTGGAACTGCTGGTCATACAGGGCCATCACAGCCCTGAGTTTCTTCACGGCAGTGCTGCAGACAGCAGCTTGTGCTCTCTAACAAGTCTCTGCGTGTGCCTTAATGGGACCGAGCAGAGTGCTTGCACTGGGTGAAGACCTCCTGCACTGTCATTAGCCTCTGACATTCAACTAATTTTTCTGAGTGCTTATCTTACTAAACACCAGCTCACCCCAAAGGGTCTCAAAGCATCATGTGTCCCACCCTCTCGAATCCCATCCATGAACCAGACTGCAAAGGCGAAGTACCAGAGGCAGAAGGATGGTAAATAATGAATGAAGCCTAATATCCGTGTCTGGCTTTTGACGAGCTTCCAATTACTTTTGAGGCCCCAATTAACGCAGGTAGCTACGCATGGCATGACGCACCCAGTCCGTTCAACGTCCCGACGCTGTTGATCATCCAGCGGCTGATGGTGTGGTTGGCCAACGAGTCGAACATGCTGCTGAGGGCGCTGGCGCCCGCGGCCGTGCCGATCAGGTACTCCAGGATGAGGTTCCAGCCGATGAAGAACGCCACAAACTCCCCCACCGTCACGTAGCTGTAGGTGTAGGCAGAGCCCGTGGTCTTGGGGACCCGCACGCCAAACTCAGCGTAGCAAACGCCTGGTTAGAAAAAGACAAAGCAACGTAAGGGAAATGTGCTTGGAAAAGAAAAACGTAAAACTGCCTTGGTCCCACCTTGTCTGGAGGTGCCAGGAGGTGCCAGGGCTGTACTCAGCATCAGGAGCTCAGGGACATCACAAGAGGCCATGGTGACCCTCCCTCCCCAATCGCTTGGTTTAAAAAACAGCCCCTTTCCCCATTAAAATCAAGTTGTGATGAACATTTTATTTTTTTTTAGGAAACAGTTCAAACTAGCCAAACCTTTACAGCCCATTGTAGAAAAGCCTTCTCACAAGTGCATGCCTCTGATGTGGGATGCTCTGGCATGGCCAACTGCAGCCCCACAGACACAAAACCAAAGCTGAGGGGGGAATTCATGCACAGGGAGCAGAACTGGGCAGCACTGGTGGTGTGGTCCTTGGAGACCCGTTTCCATGCAGTAGCTTTGGTGGTGAACAGATATCTCTTCTTCTCCATCCAGCAGCGACACCGTAATATGATTTTTGCTATTTTTCCTGGGATTTTATCAAAAGCTTTATTTATGGTATCGATATTCTGACAAGCTCCCAGTGCTTTTGGCTGCAGAAACCATCATAGCCCTGGGGTTTGAAGGGGAAAAGTGGTTGCAGTGAGACCTGCCAGAGGACAGTGTTTGGGTTTCTTGGGGGCGCAAGGAGGTCAGGGATGGCTATAGCCATTGCATAGGATCCTGGACCGGTGTTGCCCAGTCTCATCCTAGAGCGAGATCCCACAGGAGGACTCACACAATGCTACACCTCTCCCTGCCCTGACTGTGCAATCTCCAAATGCCTGTTTTGGGTTATTTCTATGCAGAGCAAGGCACTGATCATCCCTGCTCTTACTGGTACCCATGCAAGAGGAGTTTGAAGCCATCTTACATAGAGAACGTAAGTTATTTTAACACTTAAAAATGTTACATGTAAATCTCATTCTGAAGAATAGTTGCAGGACCGACTTTGTAGAAGAGGAAAAGAAAAGCAAAAAGAAGTATTTAACTGGAACGGTTTGGGAGGAAATTTCAGTGGACTTCAATATTTTCCAAACTCCTTGTGTACTTACTATGTCAGGACACTTTTCAATAAAAACCTGACCCTGACACATTGCTGTCTGAAAACAACCATTAGCTTTTATTTAAAAGGAATGGATGGACTTAGTCATAAATTCCCCAAATATTAGTCAGAACAAGTGCTGGAAGGGCACACTGCATCCTGCGTGTCTAACGCTGATGAAGCCCCTGCCCTGAAGACCCCAGTTCGGCTCGTATAGGTTAAGGGGTTGTGACAGTTACTATCGTTGCGTAAACACATGGTAATGACTGAGTTCTTTGTCAACTACTATTCTCTGTTTAGAAGATAAAAATTGCTTCAAATTTGCAATCAGTTCAGTATAGAGAGAAGAATGAGTAATTTACAAAAACGTCATGAGGTCGCCGCTCTTACTGTAAGTGCAGTTTTTACACAGTACAAACACAGAATTATTTAATCCCTAAGCTCAATTTGGTGGTGCTTCTTTTCTTGGTATTTTTATATTCCATTCACTGTTTAAGTTGCATGCATGATGTTGGCAGTGCTTTGCAATGGGACTCTTCGAAACTTGATTTCAGTAAAGCAGGCTCAACTGCAGGAGCAGCACCCCCATCATCCAGCCCCACAGAGAGTCATTATTCAAAGCTGATGAAAAATGCATGCACTTGGCAAAGGTAAGGCATTCATAGATAACTACAGGCCTGAATGATTTATGAAACAGGTGCTCTGATGGGGACAAGTATCTAGTTTCTCTAGTTCACGGCCTTAAAAATCATACAATCTTTCTTGGAGGCAGTTCTGCTTATAGCCAATGACAAGATAAGGCTTAAAGAGGATTGTTATTGATACAGAATGATAATGGCAAAGCAAAGACATTAATATGTATAAAATGTTTGAGTTTTCAATTGCTAGGATCCCAAAAGAGAAGAGTAATCTTTCACTAAGCATTGCACACAGCAACACATTGTGGATATCTGCATTAGGTATCAGCATGTATTAAGAAAATAAACTACTTTTTATTGTAGCATGAAGTATCCAATCTGGGGGACATGAGATGCAAGATCTGCCATCCATCCCGAACTGACACTGGCCATACTGGGTGGCATTAATCAAATTACTTTGCAGTGCTACAGGTCCTCCATCAGAAATCGGGTTCACAGCACTACCCTTTTTGCTTAAAAGGGAAGATCATATCATCATTCATTAGGGTGCAGATTTTATCTGGGTGCAGAGAGTATCACAGTTTATCAGGGTGCAGATTTTATCTTACTAATCTCTGCTGCATCAGTAGTGTATTTTTATTACTATTGTTACTGTTATTATTGTAATTATTGTAGTTGTTGTTGTAATACAACCGCATAATAAAACTGTGTTACTCAGTTACTCCTCGGCAGCCCTGGCTATTCGACACCTTGTCCCCTGATACCCGCAGAGATGAAGTTCTCCTGGTGCCCCCACGCAGTCAGCCTGGCTCCGGGGCTGCAGGCGGAGGCTGGGCACGCTCTCCCTGCCACAATTCTTTGAATTTGGAGACAGATTTCTTTTTTTTTTTTTTCCTTCAATCCAGAGTGTTTGCAACTTTCTGCAGAAAACAGACCAACACAGTGGTTGTTTGGAAGAGCAGTCTTTTTACAGAAGACCATTTCTTTTCCTCGAATATCAGCTACACTGTGTCACTGGCGTGACAGTCATTACGCTGGTGTAATTATACAGTTATTGGCATTATTCAGAAGGACGTAAACACAGCTGAGCAGTTTGGTCCATCACTTTGTCCCTTCCAAGATCCCATCTACAAACCTCCATTTTTCAGATTTAATTGACCTCTCCATTCTCTGGTTTATCTTCTTTGGTTGTAGGAGGTGAGGCAGCCAGCAGCTTTCCATACAGTGCCTGTTTCTGTGTTAGTGGTGGCTCGGGGTCACGCTGAGCTTCTTGACCTGCCCAACGGGAACTTTTGCTGGTGAGCTGTGCGCTGGCAGGGCAGGAGAAGGGACCACAAAGCCCCGGCTGACTTCAAACCCCAACGCTACAACAGCCGCTGGGCAGCACAACCTGTGGCACAAGGAGCTGGTGCGAGCACCACAACTCAGTGCACCCTCTTGGCTGCTGTCTTGCTTTTGGTGTGCTGGGGCAGTGGTGTGGATGCTGGCCCTCCCGCTGCCACCTGGCACGAGGCCACACAGGGACCATGAGATATCCCATGGGGTACTGGCACGATGGGAGTGATGTTTTAGGTGAAACAAGCCTTTGGGGATGGGCCTTTCAGTGTCGCTGGAGGTACAATGATTCATTCATGCTACCACACAAGAAATCCAGAGGGACCATCCTTCATTAACCAAGAGCAGCCAATTTATCGAGGCAGGTATACTGCCAAATCCTCTTTTCAGCAAGCCACCAAGCCTGTCCATTGTGTTTCATGATCAACGGGTGCAGATACATAACAGGCAGCTCCATAAAGAAAGCTTCCTTAGAAAAAGGACTCCCATCTCTCCAGCACCACCTGAGCAGCTTGTGATCAGCTGCAGCTGCAGCCCCTCATCCTAGCCCTTGTCCTGCAGCCAGGCAGCACCTGAGGCACATGCTCAGCTCTGCCCTGCTCCATCATCCACCCTGGCTGTTGCTGAGTCTGCTCCCACGTGGGTACCAGGTAAGAGCATGGTAATGTGGTAAAAAACTGCATGGCTTGGGGCTTGAAAT